AGAATATAAATTACAAGCATTTGCAGATGACCTGGTTTTTATCTTAGAGGATCCATTAGAAACAGCACCTAAGTTGATAGAAAAGATAGAGGAATATGGAAATGTAGCAGGCTTGAAAATAAATAAAGATAAAATGAAGATTTTGACAAAGAATATGTTTGCAAAACGAAAGGAAGAATTGGCAGAAGTTTTGAAGATCCAGGTCACAAATAAAGAGTGTACTTGGGAATACACTTGACAGCAAGATGTGGTACATTTAAAGAGGATAATTATTATAAACTCAAACAACAGATCGTGACAGATTTGACAAAATGGGAAAATTAACAATATTATTAATAGGGAGAATATCAACAATTAAGATGAATACATTACCTAGAATTTTATACTTGTTCCAGACAATTCCAATTAGGTTAGGGAAAGATTATTTTGAAGATTTGAACAAAATAGTGTTGAAATATATTTGGCAGGGAAAGAAGGCTAAAATTTAAACTATTGCAAGATGCTAGAATAAGAGGAGAATTTGGCCTGCCTAATTGGGAGTTATATTATCAGGCGACAACTTTGATGTGAGTCAAGGAATGGATAACACTAAGAAATACTAGATTATTGACACTAAAAGGACATGATTTGTTATTGGGATGGCATGCCTTCCTATGGTACAAGGGGTCTAAAACACACGGGTATTTCAGGAGACATTATATATGAGAAGCTTTGTTATTAAATTGGGAGAAGACTAAAAGGCAACATTATTTAAAAATTCCAGTCTGGCTTTCAACTATTGAAGCATTTTCATACCCAGTTATATATAAAATGGAACAAACAGTTAGATATGGTGAAATATTGAATGAAAAGAGTGAACTTAAATCTATGCAAGAACTAGAAGAACAAGATATAAGGATGAATTGGTTTTCATATGTGCAAAATACATTCTAGATATGATAAAGATTTTAAAACAGAATGTTTCTATGATAAATTGATTGAATTAGATAAAATTTTGATAGGTACTGATGAAAAGGTGATTAAAAAACTATATGGATATTTATTAAACTAGAAGAAGAACAAGTTAAAAGAAACAATGATTGCTTGGGGGAAGAACTTTGGATATGGAATTGATTTAGAGAAATGGCAAAAATTATGGTCTCACAATTATAAAATGACAATGTCAGCAGCATATAAAGAAGATTTGTATAAGATGTATTACAGGTGGCACTTACCCCCGACGAGAATAGCAAGAATGTTCAAGAATAAATCGGAGAAGTGTTGAAAATGTCATCCGATACTGGGTTCATACTACCATATGTAGTGGACGTGTGCAGAGGCGAAACGATACTGGACTAAAATCCACACATGGTTGGAAAAAATGATAAAATAACACATAGACTTTAAACCAGAGATATTTTATTGGGTATTTTACCGGAAATATACAGTAGAGATTTGAAATATTTGATTGTAAATGTATTAACAGTGGCTAGGATTGTATTTGCTAAAAATTGGAAAAATGAGAAAATTCCAATGCAGGAGGAAGTTATCAAGAAAATAATGGAATGTGCTGAAATGAGTAAATTGACATTTGAAATTAGAGAGCAAGAAGATAAACAATATTACAAGATGTGGAACTTATTTTATTAATGGTTATATAAAAAATATGAAATATTTTAGAGGATTTTACAATATAAGGATAATAGAATTATAGAGAATATAACATAAGGATATATTATTATTGGATGGATTTATGATGATGGAATGAATGTTACAATATAAATTAACTTAAAATGTTGAATATCTCGCATAAAATGATGGAATAATAGTAATAGTCAAATAAATGATTAACAATGATAATAATATACATATATATACTACATGGATAATATGAGAATTAATACAAATTATAAGTGAGGACTAAGTGAGATGAAGCACCCAAGACTTGTAACCAACCAACACACTGTATGCAACTGGAAGATGGTTTTATGTTTTGTTTGTGTATGTTTATTTTAAAAAAGTAAAAAAAAAAGAAAAAAAGAAAAGATAATCTGAAGCCATGTTTGTGTTGTTTCATCACTCTACCCTGGGGAACAAGGTAACTTCATAGACAATTGGTAGATGGATTAGAGCTTGTATATCTAAGGCATACCAAACTTTAGGTGTACAGCTACTTTGGCCGCCTGGTCTACTCAAACATTGCTGGAGGAGATCTGCAGAGTGCTACCTGGGCTTCGGCTTCACCGTTTATATGGCATTATCACCTGGATTCATTTGCCTCAGCACAGGCATTGTTTGGCCGGAGGGTGCTTCAAAAGGTGGTTCCTCAGTCAGAGTGACTGGCCCAGACGTTGGCCCTCCCGTGGACATGCATGCTTTGGTATGTCCCATTCCTGGACTCTCGAGGCAGCCTGGATGAGAATGGGCGTTGGTATAATTACCTGAGAACACTCTTTCTATCTACACTGCAAGAGAGTCCAGCCCCACCCTATACGTCTGGTTATGATGGTTGGGGAGGGGTGAAATTAATGTATTGCTTATCTTCCAGAGACACATTATGTCTGTCAAGTATCCTTGCCTAAAAGATGGGTGGGCCAGCCAGGGTTGGCTTTTTTATAGACTCAGATGCAGACTTAGCTCTATGATGTCAGAAGGAGGAGCTTAACCCATTCCTGGACTCTCTTGCAGCGTAGATAGAAAGGGCGTTCTCAGGTAATTATACCAACGCCCATTCCACTTTACAGAAATTTGCATGGAGAGTTTAAATGTAAGAATATTTTTCAATATTAATTTGTCCATTCCATTTCCTATTATGGTAACATTTTTCAGTTATATAATAATCCCACTGCTAATTGTTCAGATGCTATTTCATTTTAAGGTTATTATTTACAGTTGAGCAGAGGAATTTCCTTGGCACACATAAATAGCATTAGCTTGATTTTTATTAAAACTTGTTTAAGTCCAAGATTTAAAATATCCTAGCCACAAACACTCTTTTCTCAACTAATGTTTTGAAATTAATAGATTAAGCAATACTGGATTTCTCTTTTTCATGATAAGCACTAGTTTTTCAGATAAATTGATATAAGAGTAAATGCCAATACAGATTAGGAAGAGAATTGTTTTATAAAGTTTTATATCATAACACATTTTAACACTGTATCTTGGTGAAAATAGGATGTAGAAAAAATATTTGATTCTGAAATTAGCAAGATATTTTATATAACAGTAACACTAGTAGTCCAACAATTATTGATCATTCCAGTCCCAACCTTTGGACAGAGCAGGAGATTATGGGGATAGAAATCATTGGACAATACAAGAGACTGACTAGAAAAACTTGGAGCAAGTTGGACATTGCTAGTGAAACTGCACTTACAATAGGTTATCAGGAGCTAATGGGAATTTCTATTTAAGCATTGAAAGGAAAAAATACTTCTAGAAAAGATGAGATGACTGGTCAATGCACAGTAAGCCAAGATATTTCCAGAGCCTCATAGTTATCCTGCAAGGTGAATTGAGTGATTTATCCACAGTGTACTAATTACTACAATGTTTCATATTCATCCCAATTCTTTTATCAGGTCACTGCAGCCTATGACATATCTTCAGATACTTCTGAATTTACAATCCAACTGCTTTGATATGGAAAATGCTAGAACATTTTGGAGATCATCTGTTGGTTTGGTTTACTATTACAGGAAGAAAATAGACAACTATCAAAGTTTACTTGCCTTAATTAAATGGATCAAAGCTAATAAAGCCAATATCCAGTATTATACACCCACAAGAAATGACAGTAATTTGTCATATCTAACAATTGACATCAATCAGAACTGCTAACCAGAATTGTAATAATTAATTAATAATCAAAAACATCTTTTTGATCCCTCACTTCCCTTCCGTTCTCTCCCTAGTTATAAGAAAGCTACAGTATAAACTATAACATTAATTTTAGTGCAGGACATCCAAAATTCTGGTTTACCTGATCCAAATCAGCACTATCAAAATGTATTTATATTTCCTATTTCTTAAAGAGAGAGCCCATCTCTTCTCTCCACTACCGAAATTTAGTGGTAAAATGCCAAAAAGTAGTGTTATGATTTTCTATATTTTTAAAATCACTATAAGAAGTAAAACTGTAGATATGTTATACTTTTCCACTTTGGTCACCCAAAATACAAACTTTTAGAAAGACTCTAAGATTGCAGTCCAGCTGTCCCGAAAAGAATAGGATTTCTTAGAAACTCCAATTAAAATCTACCTTCAATTCTTATTGAAATAATTCATGACATTTAAAGACAGCGTAGATGCTAATTATAAAGATTTGTGTTTTCTGGGTGATGGTAGTGGCAAGAACCAATTGTATTCACCAGATATATTGTATTCATCGATTAATCTGAGATGTAAAACGCATTACTATTTACTGATATCTCTAGGTGAGGAAAAGCAGATGTGTGGATGGATCCAGTTAAAGCTCTCTTCCATATAATTCATTATACAGCATTGATTGTTTCCTATGATGATTTGATTGCTTATTTGTACCCTATGACTATCATTAAGTATTGTACTTTATGATTCTTGAAAATGTATCTTTTCTTTTTATGTACACTGAGAGCATATGCACCAAGTGTGATTGTGTGTCCAATCACACTTGGCCAATAAAGAATTCTTCTATGAGCTAGTGCCATTACCCAAACATCATTAACATAGGTTAAAGATTAGTGGACTAGCTCTTTGTGCTATTATGTCAATTCTTCTCAAATGTGCTTGAGCTAATTATTCAGCCAAAAAATTATCAACCATTTTCTCTTCTACCAAGTGATCTGATTCTAGCTCGCTAGTACTGTATTCTTTCCATGTTTAATTTATTTGCCAAGATGATGATATATATGTGTTTTAATAGTACTTTGTCTAATTTCCCATATAAAACCAAAGTGTAAGCAAAACCCACTTTTTCCATCACTCTGATAGATTGTTATCTGTTTATTTACAAATAAAATATATTTATCTAAGCCTACCTGTCTTCCTTCCATTGCTCCACGCATTTCCTTGAAAGTTGAATTGAATTCTCCAATGAAGTCATGCTTGCCATTGGAATCCCAGTCCCAGACTATACACTGAAAGAAATATAAAAACTAAAAAATCCCAAAATTTGATTACAACAATAAAAACAACCCTTTTATGGGAAAAATATCAGACTGTGCAAATCATGTTCAAATTCTTAATATCCCCTCTATAATGAAATGAGAAAGTACCTACTTACTCCATGAAATCCAGGGCATCTATCTCAACAAAAGCCAGCAAGAATCCTGCGATAGGCCATAACCTTTACGAGTAACAAAGACATTCTATATTTGTTTGGGAAGGTGTGCATCCCATTTCATATATATCAAAGCCATTCAGATTTTCTGGTTTTCATGCTTGTCTAAAAAATTCGCAACTGCTTTAGGGAGACTATTTACTAAAATTAACAAGACCTTTAAGACAATGGCATTTTTGTCAGGAATAAAAACTTAAAAAATAATAATGGAGCTTTATTAAATAAGAAATCCAAAGAATGTTTTCTAATAATTGAAAGTTGGGTTATTAAGTACCTTTTTGGGGATCCATTGTGCTCTGAATGGTTACTAACAACTGGTTGTTAAGTGAGGACTACCAGTAGTCTCTTCTTCCTTCAACTTAAATTCAGTTTTATTGTGGAAAACATAAGGAAAAGGATCCCCTGCTTAATTTTGGCATTATGCATTTTCATCCTATTGTGATTATTCATCTAATACTTGATTTAATTTATATCAGTGAAAATTGTCTTGTCATGTGCATTTTATTATAATATTTTCATTGTGGAATACTTTCTAAACAGAAAACTCAGATTTATTTTATTTTAATAGTGTCTTTAATCTGGTATATATAAAATATTGTCTTCTTTGGAAAAAGGCACAAGAAAGATAAGATATTCAAAAGATAGATATTCAAAATTATTTATAAAAAATAGCTTACATTTGAGTACTTATGTCTATACTGTTAGATTGATTCCCCCCCCTACTGCCTTCCTACTACTAGTGCTATTAAGATAGTGAAGACCCAGATTATAAGGGAGGGACTCACTAGTATGTACATAACTAGATTCCTGATAATACATGTAGTCCATCAGGCAGAGGAGATTGCGATCTCTCCTCTGCATAGATGAGCAATGATGTTCAAGAGTTTCAGACTGTGATCTTTTCTTACTTGGTGTTTTAAAGAACTGATTCTGAAACGGGTGCTGAGCAAGTACATTGTGACTGAATTCTGCACCATTACTTCTAAGTGAAGCCAATATTTTATATAAATGAGTGACAGAGCCTGACTTTTCTGGAAATTGTAAACTAAATGGTTTAATGCCCTACAGCTATGGTAAAATGGAGAACTAATAGTTGAGAACCTGTTACACCCTCAGGCTTTTGTAAACTATTTTGTACAGTATCTTCTACTCTTTCTTTACAAAAGGGGCAATGCATATCAAATAAGCTTCAAACACAAAGCCTTTATTTCTTGATGAAGATACCTTACACAATATGCAACTGCCTTTGACTCCTTCTCCCATCCTACCTCTTATAAAAACAAGCGCACAAAATTCCACTTGCTGATTAAAGAAAAAGACAAAGGATCATGATTGTGTTAATGATTCATTCATCAGTCTTTCATTAGAATGTCAGAAAGTTGTTTCAAAAGAGAAAGGACAATTTTGGATTGTCTGAGGTTTGAATTGTAATTGGAGATCCCAAATTACATATACTGTTAAGGTTAACATGCTAAAGCTGATTTTTTAACTTCTAACTTTAGAGAAGTAATGTGAAATATAGCCTACTCAGAAAGTAAGTCCTAGCTTGATTTTTACATGTGCTCCCAATATAAGCCCTACCCCCTAAATAAGCCCTAATTAAGACCCCTCCCACTCCAGGGTGCACGGGTAAAAATTAAGCTAAGATGAGGATTGGGGAGGTGAAGCTGTCCTACTACTTACCTTCGGATAGTTGCAGCGAGGCCTTGCACACCTTGGTCCATTTCTTCTGCAGCCAGCAGAGTTTTCCTAAAGGCCTCTGTAGCTGATAACAGAGATCAGTCCGGAGCTGTTTTATCAGCTAAGAAGCCTCAGGGAAAACCTTGCTGGCTGCAGAAGAAATGGGCTGAGGTGTGCGAGGCCTGGCTGCAACTATCCGAAGCTGAAGAAGTTCCTGAAGGCCTCTGACAGCAAAAAGGAGGCTGGGGGCAACATGCACAAGTGAGGTGAGTCAGTGGATGACATCCCCACCAAAAAATAAGACCTGGTGCCTTTTTTGGTGGCAAAAAATATATAATATAGGGTTTCAGGGAAACACGGTAGTTCCTAGAACTTTAGAAAGCCAATGATTTAGTACCAAAGTTCATGGACAAAAGATACTGACATTACCTCAGTGTTGTTTGCACAGCTATAATTAGGATAAATTTTAGAAGCATGATTGATGTCTGGCAATAAATATTCATTTTTGGTATATGGTATATGATATATTGATCACCCTGATCAATATACCATATACCACCCTGATCAATATACCATATACCACCACTCTGTGTTGTTATCGTACATATGTGTATTTTAGCCTTATCAGGTAGATCAAACAGGAAATACAACCTGGTAAGCTAATCTTAATTTATTGTGAAGCTACATGAACAGAATCTTGAAAGACTGAAAGTACAATTCCCCCACTGATTTCTTTACAACCTGAGAAATTATGAACTGGTCATATTGTCCTGCCCAATATTCAGCTGCTGGCTATGATCTCTTATATAATCTGTCTAGTTGTGGGATTCAAAAAATTTTACTACTGGTTTTGTGGACATGGCTTGGTGGGTGTGGCTTGGTGGGCATGGCAGGAAGGATACTGCAAAGTCTCTATTCCCACCCCACTCCCGCCCCATTCACACTTCAGTGCTTTGAAGGTTTGCGCTCAGCTGAAGGGTGGGCCCCAGTGAATGGGTGGGTAATGTGGGCAGCGCAGCCTTGTGTTCCCGCACAGCCTGGATTAACTACTTCGGGCGGGTGCTTTGGAGGAGACATTTCTCTGTGTACCACCAACATTTTCTTGCAGACCACCAGTGCTCCCTGGCCCACTAGTTGATGACCACTGGACTAGATGACCTACAACGTCCCTTCCAACTCTTTTAATCTAATTCCAAAAATCTGGAAATATGTCATGCTTTTTTGGAACATTTCTAGAATATTATCAATCATAAGGAATCACAGCCCCAAGGTGCTGAAGTAGGAAGCTCAGGATTGAGCCCACTGTCAGAATTTTCAAGCCAAGACTTGGCTGTAAAATTTCAATGCTTCCAAGTTCATGACTTACACTGAAGATGGCATTTAATTCTGTTGTATGAGGTGCAATGACAATAAAATACTAATACTACTTAACTTCTCTTGTTTTTATTTATTTCCATAGTAGTTATTTTTACTTTATTTTGTCAAACTATAAACTACCCTGAGTCTCTTACAGTAAAGTAGGATAAGATACTGGGTGTTTGCAAAGATATGGATGGATTCAAAAAGGTCACAATAGCACTTGGTCCTGCATTAACAAAGTTTTTTTTTTGTAAATTTTATTTGAGTTTTCACAAAGAGAAAACAACTACAAATAAAACATCTTTTTTGAAAGCAGCATAATCCCGGGTTACATTTCTTCGTACAGACACAAATTCAGGTTCATGCTCATTTTTATATTCTATTCCATATTTTATTACTATTTTACATTTTCTACATAGCTTCTCTCCTCTTTTAATTTTCTCAATTTTATTTTAATTATCTCATCTCAATTCAAATCATTGTATTTATATTTTTTGTCTGTCCTGTTTCAATTATCTATTATCTTTTCTCATTAAACAAAATTTCTCCTGTTGTTACTGATTGGAGTAACGCCTTTATATCTTTTCCCTAAAGTTGTAACATTCAATATAATACATAACTTCCATTTGGATTCTGCTTGGTACATTCTTAAAATACACACTGTATTCTTAAAAAAAGAAAAAAATTATAAATGTATATAATTAAAACAACATTCCATTCCAATTCAATTCTATCATTAATATTAATATTCATTAAAGTCTTAACATCTTTAACATTACTTTTCAATTAAATATCATACTTCTATGGGAACAATTATAAGCTTTCCATAGTTAATTCCCCCTCTTCACTTATTTTTTATAAAACTAACTAATTAAAATGTTCCTGTTCCTTCCTAATTCAATTTTCTCGTTTGTATTTTATTTCACTTATTTTATTCACAAACATTTCACTAAATTACACTAACTATTTTATCCCTCATTTTAATCATACGTTGTTTCCAATTTTCTAAAGTTATTTCTATTACTAATATAACAATACAATCTTATGTACCTTTACAGAATCCCTTTTTCAGTTAGATTTTCACCCATTATCTCTAAATAGGTCCTGTTTCTCTATATCTTGCCCCGGTCCTTTGTAACTTCTTTTCCTTTCCTTCTTCTCTCTCTTCATCTCTCTCCCCTTTTTACCCCTTTGTCTCTCTACCTCTATTTCTCTCTTCTGTATTCCCCTTTTCTGTTGCTTTCCAGTATTATACTTATTTTTCGAATTATTTTTCTTTTCTTTGGTTGTTTTTTTAAGTCTTAAATTCTCCATTCTCTTTCCCCCCCTTCCTTTTTCTTCCCCACATAGAATTACTTGTTCATTAAAGATGGCTTCTTCTTTGTCCCAGTCTTCTTGTTTTGCAGTCTTTTCTTGTTGTTTCTCATAGTTCCAAATCTCCATTTCTAAGAATTAAAAAACGAAGCCAAAAGAACCCCTCCCTTCTTGTGCATTGTCTTTGTACTTTTTAAGTTCCATTTTCAATTCATCCAGAAGTGGTGCCATTGTATAAATTTTAAACAACCACCCGATTGATTTTAGTCATTCAAATATAATAACCAAAACTCCAAAGATCACCAAATAGTCCAAATACATGCAAGCTGTTTCTTTTTTGCTCTTTCCCCCCCCACTTTCTCTTCCTGGGGTTACTATTTAGTTGCAAAGTTTCAGTTAAAATGTATCTTTTAGAAGTCTTGTTGAAGTTTTACTTTAAATTCT